CCCCATTTAATTTTTTTTTTTTTTTTTTTTTTTGGTACCAGGGATTGAACTTGGGTCCTTGGGCTTGCAAGGCAAGTCACCGAGCTGCTGAGCTAAATCCCCAGCTCCCCATTAAATTTTAAAAGTCTAAAAGGACATCTGGTGACAAAAAGTTTGAGCACCATAGGATTAGACAAGGGAACAAGAAATTTTATACCTAGGTATCTATTCTTACAACTTTATTTTACATTTTAAACTCCAAATATTGGATGTAATGCTGCCTTATAAAGATACCTGAATTACATTATAAGAATGAATGCTGACCTTTGAAACAAAAGCCAAATGTTTAATCAATAGCTACAGATTTCTTAGATTATTGATTAAAGATAACACTACTCCATAGAAATAGTTATATCAACCATAGATCTCTTGGGAGCTTTTGCATGATAATGAGAGAATAAACAAAATAACACTTTCTTCAAGAAATATTACCTTAGGTTTCTTTGTTTGGATATGGTTTGGATTTTATATTTTTAAAATCCCTTTTGCTACCCTATCTGGTTTTATAAACTAAGTTTCTTAACTTTTATTATAATTATGGGGCTTGTCTGGAAAATATATATATATTTTTATGCTTTTGCCTTTCTTACCTAATTGATATTGCATTTACCTTTGATCATTTTTAATAAAAGTTTATTTTTGCAGAATGTATTTAGTACCTTTCTTAAGCAGTAACTTAATCGAATCAACCAGTTTGTATTTAAGTGAAAGAATGGGCTCAATGGCTTTCAGTAAAATGATTTACAAACCTCCACATGAAGTGGTTGTCTGGAATCCTAGAACTGGCACTTTTTGCTTCCCTGCTTTCAATGTCAAAATAAATTGTATTTGTTTAAAGTAAATAAAATGACTTTCTTTTCCTATTGACCAATACAAATAGAGATTTTTGTGCTTGTTTTATTGCTAATGACTTCTTGAAGACTGATCTGATCCAATAATTGTTGAGATAACTTGGTTCTGTATAAATAGCATGTGTTTATTATAATCACATTTTTAAAAGCTTGGTTTATATTAAATTATGTTATTTAACTATTTTTATGTTTATACTAGATAGGGCTTTTCTTATTTCTGTGTTTTTGATATGTTAAATAAAGCTATTTTTAAACCCAGGAGAGTTTTTCTGCCATGTGTCAGTCGAATTATTGTTAGGTGATAAAACATGCTCCACAAGCTCTTATTAATGCTCTGTTTAATAAGGTAAAAGGGATATGTTTCTTTTTTTTGTTATGGACTTAAGGAATATCTTTCAGCAAACATCAGGACATTTCTAGCATGGTTGCACATTCTTTTAATCCTAGCACTCTGGAGGCAGAGGCAGGAGAGTCAATGATTCAGGGCCAACCTGGGAACATAGCAAGACCCCATTTCAAAAATGAAATGATAAAAAGAAAGGACAGTGGACAGAAATAAATCAAATTACCTGGTCAAATCCTCAGGATGTTCTAATAAGAAAAATAAAAACTTTCTGTGCCACTTTTAAATGACTGGCAAAATAAGAAACATTTGCTCCAAAGAAATAGATTGACTTCCTTGCTGTAGTTGTTTGTGAAGTCCTGGGAATAGTGGTTTTTACAGATGTCAAAGAAGTTGCACTTTTTTTCCTGCTCAGCAGAACAGTTTACCTTTGACATTTGAGAAAATTAGAAAAGAAAGCACACAATAAAAACACTATAGCCATGGGGCATTTTCCTAAGTGTAGCTATCTCAGTAACAGCTGGTGCATCCTGTCATTAACCAAGTGAATGTAAATGAATTTGTAGCATAAAAATTAAAATTATTTACTCTATTCAAGGAGGGAGTTTGTATACACATAAGTCTAGGTATCCATTTCATTAGCATAAGTCAGCAAAGAGTTGCCCAAAAATTCATGGAAATGCGATAATTTTAAATGCATATATTTAAAAAATATATGGCAATGTCTAAGAATTATACCACTTTCAGCTTGATGAACACAGCCATGAAATTCAATACCTATATAAGACATTTCAAGCACCAGAGGATTCCTCATATGCTTTTCTTGAAGATAATCCTATTTTTAAACTGTCAAAGGTCATTTTGTAAGAGTTCATACTTGATTATGGCCGCATGGACTTGCTTTTTTCTTTCTATAAGCTCGTAAGTTATTTTAGAAATGTTCAAGCCTGATGTTTCTGACCAGTTGTTCCATCTTTTAGCTCATGGAACTTACCTACCTGCTCTCTCTGAGCCATTCTAAATTCTTGACGTTTTTCTCAGGTAAGAAATGTGTTTAATCCTTTTAACTCTTTTCCTCATATACATCAAATAACTAAAAGTTATGACTAATTTTTTCATTAACTTTATTTGTACATCTTAGGTATATAATACAGTTACATGTATCACTGCGAACTTGTAACTTTACATGATGCATCTCCGTTCTTATTTTTTCCCTATTCCCCTGCCCTCCCTTCATCCCCTCCACACCTCCCTATTTATAAAGACTTTGTTTCCATTTTTTCCTTTCCCCTATCCCTACCCCTTTAGACCCTTTCTTCCTATTTCACATTATCAATTACACATTTTGATCTTTTTACTCTTTTGGTTTCTCACACCAGAGAAACTTCAGTATCTATACATGTGTGTCCTGTTTGTTTCACTTAAGAGCACGGCCTCAATGTGCATCCATTGAGCTATAAATGTCTGTAGTTTCTCGTACTTTATGGCTAATTAGTACTCCATTTTATAAAAAAATAAACACATCTTCTTTATCCAGTCTCCAGTTGATGGAGTTGATGGGAAATTGAGCTGTTTCCAAGCTTTAGCTATTACGAATTGTGCCACTAGAAATATGGATGCGTGTATATCACTGTGGTATGATTATTTTCATTCTTCTGGGAAGATACCCAGGAGAGGAATATCTGGGTCAAATGGGACCTCTAGTCCTACTTTTTTTTTTAATTTATCTTCATACTGACTCCCACCAACAATGGAGAAGGGTATCTTTCTCTCCACAGCCCCGCCAGCATTTGTTATTTGTTGATTTCTTGATAACCCCCATTCTTTCTGGAGTGAGGTGGAATCTCCTTGTTTTCATCGGCCTTTCTCCGATGACCATTAATGTTGAACATTTGATGTTTTATTTTTTTTAAGATGTGAATTGATCAAATGAGTAGCTTTCTGGCTGTTCTCAATGCTTGTCTTTCCAAGGTGATCGTTATGGTTATTGATATTGGTATTATTTGGTACTAGAAACTGAAAGCAGGGTCCAAATGCTCTACCACTGAAGTACATCCCCAGCCCCTACCCATTAGTTCTTACCTCCTTCCATTTCCTTAAACTTTGTATTATGATATTTTGTATGCAGTAATTTTATTTACTTAATCTGATTATTTCTTTTTCTGGACCCAGCAGCTTTTCTAACCTTTTTTCTTCTGTAATTCAGAGGATAGATACTTGCAAAATGCTTACTTTGTGGGACTCAGTAAGGGCATGAGCAAGTAATATTGTCAATAGCTGTTGTCCTGGATATCTTGCAGTCAGACTAAAACTGAGATAATGTTCTCATCATCTGAAGAAGTTTAGAACCCTAATTCCACTCTAGCTCACAAAGTTTTTTGCCCAAGGTCACATGATATTTACAAGAAATCATCTTTATCACAATCCTGGATATTAGTCTCTTCTGTGGTTTTTATAAATTATCAGCAATAGAAACTTAACTTTTAAGCAATGTATCACAGAACTTTATTATGAATCAGATGACACTATTATGGTTGATTACAGAAAAGTGACTGCAATCTGTGAGCTTCCTTGTCAGCCCTTCCTACCTCAGGCCAGTTCAAGTTACCTTTCTAAGCCTTGAAATTTGACAAATATATGTTAGTAACCACATAGTATAACATCTGTTGATACTCAGTTTTATAGTTCTTCATCTTACCACTACAAACAAGATTAGAGAATATAGTTGGGGTCTAAAAGTCTGTTTTGGGTTTAGTTGTTTTAAACTCATGAGTGTCACTGGGCTTCTGTCAAATTGGCTGGCTAGAGGTGCCAGGCATGTATCCCTCTCGTAAAGAAGGACCGAAACAAAGAAGAAATAGTGAATATATGGCTAAACTATTTGGAGGAGAGTGCTAGAGTACAGTGCCCATGAAAGAGAAGCAGAAAATGCACACACAGGATGGCCCTGTAAAGAAAGGAACAATGTGCCCTGCATCAACCACCCCTTTGTGCCATTCAGGATAGCTTTACATTGGGAAAAAATCTCTAAGGGTAAATGATAAACATGAGTCCACAAGTACCCACCATGGACACCTGAAGTTCTTCTTGCTGGGCAATCGTACAGCCCTTATAGGCTCCAGATTAGGCAGTGATGAGCGAGTAGTCAACACTGACTCCCTCCAGAGAGGTAACCCAGTCCACATTGTACCCTACTTCACTCAGGCTTCTGCTTAGGGCCCCTTAGGACCACTTTCAGATGAGACCCACTCAATACAGAACCTGTATATATATATATATATATAAAATTATCATTATTTACAGACCCCCAAAAATCTACCAAAATAATCAATGTTAACCAAATTGAGTAACATAGCAGGATATAAAACCAACACACAAAAATCAATGCCTTTTGCACCGGGGATTTAGCTCAGTGATTCTGCCACCTGCCTCATAGA